AAAGTAAACCAGTGAAATGTGGACGCGAGCGTTTACGGCATATCGAAAAGTCTCCAAAGGCTTTCAAACTAAGAGATTTTGAAAGATTTGAGTAAAATTTGTGTTTCTACAGGGTGCGTCATAATTATTGCAACAAGAGTTCAAAGACCGTTTGTGTTTAAAATTTTTTTTTTAAATTTTTTTTTAAAATTTTTTTTTTAAATTTTTTTATTTTTTGTGATGTCAAGAATGTGATGTCAAGAATGTGATGTCATGGGCGTGTAAAGCCAATAACAATCAAAATTGGACCTTCATGCAAGATGGAGCTCCCGCTCACACGAAGAAGACGGTTCAGGACTGGTGCGTGGCCAACTTTCCCTCAGTGATCACCAAGGATGAATGGCCTCCAAACTCACCGGATCTCAATTTGATGGACTTTTCCATTTGGGCAATCTTAGAGGCTAATGTCTGCTCTCGAAAACACACAAGTTTGGATTCTTTGAAGAAGTCTTTGACCTTGAAGAAGTCTTTGACCTTGAAGAAGTCTTTGACCAAAGGATGGAAGGCGACTCCTCAAGATGACATTCGGCCCTCAGTGGAGGCATATCCGAACCGATTAAGGGCTGTTATCAAGGCAAAAGGCGGTCATATCGAATGATCTCTTCTTTCCTTATTTGTTACTGTTAAATAAAGCTATTTCTGTTTAAAAATCTTCTTCCAGTGAAACTTCTTGGTGTGCAATGCCTTGAGTATCTTGTTGCAATAATTATGATGCACCCTGTATTGTGCTAGAAAGGATATGTTTTGAGTTTTGAGCACAAAGTACGGGAGCATGAAGATTACGCGGCTGTGTAAAAGCGACAAATCGCAATCGTAGAGTGTTTTCGAGTAATCCGTTTTTTCTAAACGCATACTTAGCAAAAATTATCGTACTTTTAGCGAAAATTAGTGCAAAAAATCACGAGCGACGACTTATATACGACTTTTTTTGAAAGATATTCAGTCGTTTAAATGTTTTGGTGGGAAATTCCCTTCAAAAGTAAAGATATTCAATTTACTCGACGTGTAAAGAGGATTACTTCGTAGTTTACTCGACAAAAAAAAAACGTCGATTAATCGAGTGAAAATTTACTCATGCAAATTTTATTCAAGTAATTACTTACTCGCGAGGAACACACTCTAGTTTTTAGCTTTTTTTTGCTAGTTTCAACAGACTACAAAACGGAAGACTGAATCTCTTGAGCTTTCTCAAGAAAATGATATTCAGTCAAAGCGTGTGCTTCTATTAGAAGCATTTACGGTATGAGCTTTTTTGCTAAACCTTTTTTTGACCCACAGGTTTTTGATCTACAGGCTTTTGACCTACAATCTAAACCTACAGGGTGACGCACATTCACCCGCACTCAGTTCAGATTCTCCAGCTTAGCAAAGAGTCAATCAATCGACCTAATCCTTTTTTTTTATTATCAAATTGAATATTTCTTAAGTAATTACTTACTCGCGGGGAACACATTCGACGCAACACGGAACTTGTCGGTTCTAAATCCACAAAGACTCATCTCATTTAAGCATCCCCATCCGAGTCTTCTCGGTCGATCGATCTGATCGATTTTCGTTTGACTGATCGACTGATCACTTCAAACGAGCACCCTACTTCACTGAACATAATCACAGCTCAAAAGTTGTCAACTTCTTGCTTAACCGAGTTGAGTTGTCTTTTGATGTTGTCTCTGTTGTCTCTGTCTGTTGTCTCTGTTGATGTATCACCCGACAAGTACCCGGAATACTAACAACGACCGACTGTCTTTTGTATCGACGTTGATGCTCTCACTTTGCCACCATTTTTCTTGTTCTAAACACTAGCTTTTCTAACTTTTTTATACGATAATGTAGGCCAATTAAAGAGCTAAATTTTGATATCAGACTCGCAAAAAGTGAAGGCATTAGTAAATTGCAATTCCATTCAGCGCAATTTTCATTTTTACAATCTTTAATGGTTTCTGTAGTGATTATTGATGGTTTAGATATAATCTTTATTACAGCGATAATAGTTGGTTTACTATTATTGCTATTATTTGTACTATTATTGCTTTATAACAGCAATAATAGTTGGTTCAGTGGTTTGAGATTGGGAGAGTAGAGACGACTGTCGTAGAGACGACGGCACATGTTGGCAGCTCGTTCACATACGGAACTCAGGCTGCTTTGATACGGAACTCAGGCGTCTTACACACAATTGAGTTGAACGCCGGAGTTGAACGGAGGACGTCGCATATTAAATCTCGCACAATATGGGTTCGCCCACACTGGCTGACCATTTCCATCCGTGGTGATCTCGAGATGGACAAGATCGTCACGGATCTAGAGATGGACAAGATCGTCACGGATCTCGAGACGGACAAGATCGTCACGGATCTAGAGATCGAGATCACCACGGATCTAGAGATGGACAAGATCGTCACGGATCTAGAGATGGACAAGATCGTCACGACAGTTTCAAAGTGTGCATGTCATTTTAATTAGCTTCTAATAGTCATTTTAATTAGCTTTATTCCTTTAAAATCCTTGAAAATCCTTTGAAATCCAATCCCTTTTATCTAAAAGCTTTTGTTGTTCGAAAATTTGTGTGAAATCTTTTAGATATCGAGCTAGGGCGGGGCCTTGGGTCTTTTCACTTATCCAGAAAGCTCAAAGAAACCAAATCCATCCAAATTCGACTAATCCTTTTCCAACTTGTTCTTTTTAGAGAAAATGTTGATTCAAAAAGATTTGAAGTTATTGATCATTGTGATTAAATGTAAATCATTGTCATTTATCTTTGATTTCTTTGATTTCCAACAACATTCCAACAAATTCCAACAAATTTCATTCATTTTAAGCCTATTTTTTCACTTCTTATCAATTTTTGAATAATTTTTCTATAAAAAACTATCTAAACTTCTCTATTTACCTATCATTTCTTCAATTTTCAAACAAAATTAGCAACTTTATCCACTTAACTACCGTTCATTTACATTTTTCGGGTCTTTCAGTGGCAAGGGAGCGTCAATTTTTTAATAATTTTTTAACAATTTTTTAACAATTTTCTCACTCATTTTTATCCACCGTAAACTTGTCAAATCAAGAAGTTTTAATAATATATAAATAGCTTAGAACATCAGCTTTCAGGAGCTATTTGTTTTATCAAAAGTTATTAACATAAACTTATATAAAATCGGGTCGCAAGTAGGTCAAAAACTCAAACCTCCGATAACCGTAAATGTCTTATTTTTCAGCTTGGCAATGTTTAAAAAAATATTTATTTAAAGGCTAGGATCAGCTGATGGCCTTGTTGCAAAGCTAAAGTATTAAAAAAGAGATTTAAAGTACTGAAAGGTGCTAAAAAGTGATAGAAAGTACTAGAAGTACTAAAAGAGCACTAAAAAGTACTTTTAAGTACTAAAAAAGTGCTAAAAGAGTACTTAGAAGTACTAAAAAGAACTAAAAAGGACTAAAAAGTACTAAAAGAGTACTAAAAGAGTACTTAGAAGTACTAAAAAGGATTAAAAATGACTAAAAAGTACTAAAAAAGTACTAAAAAAGTACTAAAAAAGTACTAGAAAGTACTAAAAAGTACTAAAAAGTACTGAAAAGGACTAAAAAGCACTAAAAAGTACTAAAAGAGTAGTTTTAAGTACTAAAAAAGTACTAAAGAGTACTAAAAGAGTACTTAGAAGTTCTAAAAAGGATTAAAAAGGACTAAAAAGTACTAAAAAAGTACTAAAAAAGTACTAGAAAGTACTAAAAAGTACTAAAAGAGCACTAAAAAGTACTAAAAGTACTAAAAGGTGGCTGAACTGACTGACTGACCGACTGACTGACTGACTGACTAACTTGTCCCTGACTTGTCCCTGACTTGACCCCATCAGACATCAAACTACCACTTATTCAGGCCTCTAAAGCATTTCATCTCCGATCAGCTGTCCAAGAATTCCCAAGGAAGTCGAATATGCGGTCACCAACTATTTTTCATCAAAAAAGTCCCCAGCTCTTTAAAGATGGAATTATTGAATTGAGCAAAAGATGGCATGATTTTCTAAATTAAAATGGAGAACACCTCTTTTTCCTCTTTAAAATGGAGCACCTTATATTCCTCTTTATTTATTGTTAACCTAAGAACACTTTATATTCCTCTTTATTTATTGTTTATCCAATAAAAATTCGCATTATTTTCCCGTCAACCTAATAAAAGGGGTTTTAAATTAAAAACTATAAGTCTAGTCTGATAATTTGGAAGAAAAGAAAGAAAGGAAAATGATAAGTGTAGTTCATGTTCGTGATATTCCCACCTTGGCTAGATTTAAAGCCACAATTTCGGCAATTGATTTGACTGCTCTGTGATTCTTTCTTGAGGTATCTATTTATCTTTTGGGTTTGTTTTGAGTGGTGTCCCGGGTAGTTATTGTGATTTTGTTTTGTCGCTATTCAACTGAATAAAGCATATGCTTTTTTAGTGAAATACCATTGAAAATTTTCAATTAGAGTAAGTTTCTTAATGAAAGGTGAACTTTTTTTGATTCGCCTTTCATTAAGACTTAAACTTGTCCAATTCTTTTCCAAAACCTTTCACTTTTTAAACTTTTCCAATTCCAAAACCATCAATTCTCAATTTATTATAAGAAAATATTCTTTTATTTAATTTTATATTTGAATTTTATATTTGAATTTGTTTTTTTTTGGAAGCTTAAATCAATTTTTCGTTTTAAAATCGATTTTTCAATAAACTTCTTTCCGGAATCGTTTCTTTTTCGATGAAATTGTTTATATTAAGCACTTTTCTTTCTTCATTTGACTTCTATTCATTTCTCTTGACTTCTCTTGACTTCTCTTGTCTTCCCTTGTCTTCCCTTGTCTTCCCTTGTCTTCTATTCCCTTCTCTTCACTTCTCTTGACTTCTATTCCCTTCTCTTCACTCAAATTATTCTCATTTTAGAATACAGATCTTTAAATTTGAATATCTAGTGATTTTAGATGAAAAAACAATGAGTTTCTCTGTTGTCGACCACCTTTTTATCTTCTCATTTCTCTTTTTCATCGTCGACAGCCTCAAGTTGGTTTTAAAGTTGAATATTTTAAAGAAAATCTGCGTAAAATCAAATAGATTATATAAAATATTGAATTAAATGAATATCTAAGATTGATAAGAGCTTAAAGCGATTGAAAATATCCTTTTGGTGTTATTTGAAAGCTCTGAATCTCTTTTCCAAGATCTACTATAAAATAGCTGTGTCTGTCTGTTTCCTCCTCATCCAGTAGTCCGATTGAAATAACTTTTAGCTAGTTTGACTTAGAATTCTATATAGTTGTGCAACGTTTTCTTAAATTTCCAAAAAAACAAAAGATAAGAAAGAAGAGAGAGGTTGCAGATAAGGCCGGGAGTCGAACCCGGACCGTGTGGGCTAGAGACAAACGCGCTCGCACTGAGCCATCTAGAGCATAGCCGAGGGTGAGAGAATGAGGGTCCTTACCCGTGCTTGGCATGGTCAATCGGTTAACGAGCATGGGGTGAAAGCGGGTACTTAACTCATGCTTGGCATGACCGGCCAGCTTACGAGTATGGCCGAGTGGTTAACGCTTGCGTTTCTCAAACGAACGGAAGAGAGAAGTCGCTGGTTCGACTCCTCTTGGTGCCAATTCCTTTTCTTTTGTTTCAAAAATTTTTCACCACTATGCTCAAATCCTTTGGATGAATTTTGGCTGTAAATTGGTTTAAATTGGTTTAAATTTGACTTAAATTGGCTGTAAATTGGCTCAAATTGGCTTAAATTGGCTGTAAATTGGCTGTAAATTGGCTTAAATTGGCTTAAATTGGCTGTAAATTGGTTTAAATTGGTTTAAATTGGTTTAAATTGGCTGTAAATTGGTTGAGAAATCCGCCAGTATTTTGTTCTAATAGCAGTATAGAGAAAAATCAAAAGATTTCCAAGTTTTATGCTTGAAAAAGACTAATCCGATTCATTTTTGCCTTTTCTTCAACAAATTGCTTAATTCTATGAAGTATCTTCCAGAAATAATTCTCTTTTCTCACTTTTCTTTTCACTTATTCTCTTCTCTTTGCATTTTCTTCTTTCCAACAACTTTTTATTATGTACTTTGTACTCAAATCTAGAATATGTACTCAAAAGTACGTATTCTAGCTTACAGAATTTAAAAAATAAAGAATTCAGTGCACTAGAAGCTAGAAGTTTATAGATTTAAGGAAAAAGTACGAAAAGCTGGATAAAAGCTGGATAAAAAGCTGATTTCATAAGCTTTTTCCTTTAGAAATTATCAAAAGAAAGCCGAATTTCTTTTTGAATCAACGAAATTAAGCATTTCTGATGATTTTATAGAAGAAAGATGATGAATTTGACATCAAATTTGTGGGTATTGTTGGGAAGAGATCGAGTAGAGATTGAGAAAAGAAAAGGGGATTCTTTTAGAAAGCCTGACCTCCAGTTCACCCAATTAGGCGTCCTTTGAGTGTCGACTCTGGGAACAAGAACAAGAACAAGAACAAGAACAAGATAAAGATATTGGAAAAAAGAATGGAAATCTTTTCTAGAGAAATCTACAGATATTGAACGATGAAATTAATCGTTTATACTGGTTCTCTGATCTAGTTGATGAGTTGAATCCCTGAAAAAACAAATTTCTGGCTCAAAAGTTTACTCTTTCACTTTTCACTAAGTTCACTAAGTTCAATCAAAAGTTTAGTGGATACTAAGCCTGAATTTGAATCCTTTAGCCTTTTAACCTTTTAAAGAAGTTAAACAAGAAGAAGAAGAAGAAGAAGAAGAAGAAGAAGAAGAAGAAGAAGAAGAAGAAGAAGAAGAGGAAGAAGAAGAAGAAGAAGAAGAAGAAGAAGAAGAAGAAGAAGAAGAGGAAGAACAAGAAGAAGAACAAGAAGAAGAAGAAGAAGAAGAAGAAGAGGAAGAAGAAGAAGAAGAAGAAGAAGAAGAAGAAGAAGAAGAAGAAGAAGAGGAAGAACAAGAACAAGAACAAGAAGAAGAAGAACAACAACTATAACTATAACAAAAAGAAGAAGAAGAAGAAGAAGAAGAAGAAGAACAAGAAGAACAAGAAGAAGAACGAGAAGAACAAGAAGAACAAGAATAAGAAGAACAACAACTACTACTACAAATATAACGAGAAGAAGAAGAACAACAAGAACAACGATAACAACGACAATAACTACTACAACTATAACAAGAATAAGAAGAAGAACAACTACTACTACTATAAATATAACAAGAAAAAGAAGAAGAACAAGAAGAACAAGAATAAGAAGAACAAGAACAACTACTACAAATATAACAAGAATAAGAAGAAGAACAACAACAACGACAACAACGACTACAACTACTACAACTATAACAAGAACAAGAACAACATCAGGACGTAATCGTTGTAGGAAACTTATCTAAAACCCTAAAATATAGTTTTTCGTAATAGCAGGCAGTGAAGGGATTCGAACCAGAGGCAAAAAAATGCAGTTATTTTCGAAACCAGCCACACTAATCAGATCACAGTTGGGACATGAATCAAAGCTTGTAAATTAGCTGAAAAAGGCCAAAGGCCAAATATCTCGTTTTACAGAAGCTTTCCAGAAAAGCTAAAAGCAGATTCAGAATGCCTGAAAAAAACTCTATTAGATGGGCTAGAGCTCATATGAAAACTCGATCTTAACATGACAAAATTCTCTAGTTAAAGAACGCACATCATCTGGCACACTGATCGATACAGTTACCCAATTTGAGCACAGAAAACGCACGGGATTTGGCGTTCAATCAGTGCACCAGATGCCTTGCATTTCTAAGCAAGAAAATGATCGATCTAGTGATCACCACCAAGTACCGCTTCGAGCGCTATATGCATAAGAATCCAAATTGTGACCGAATTCGAGGACTTTTCTGGGCTTTCTTAGCTAAAAATCATGTCTACGAATGAAAATTCGAACGCTAAACACTTTCAAAGATCAAAGAAGATCGTTCGATTTTCTCAAGAACAACTCTCTCTCTCTCTCCGTTGAAATTTCCCTTTCTAAAAGATAAGTAATGCCGATCCTCGAGTATTTCCTCTTATCCTCCCAATCTCTCTTTTCGCTTTCACCTGAAAAACGAAAAACCGGGATTCAATTTCTCCCTCTACTCATTCCCCAATTTCACTTCTCGGATTTGTTACTCCAGAAATGGAAACGATGAGTGTCTCTTGTCTCCAGAGTCTCCAGAGATTTCGAGTTTCTTTTATCGAAGACAACTGTACGAATGGAGCTAAAGTTTAGGTCTTTTTTAGGTTTAGGTCTTTTAAAAAAGATCTATTCACATTTATTTACATACAAGGATATTGTATGAGATAAAATGGATCCAATAGAGCTTAGGCTCTATTGGATCCAGGCTCTATTGGATTCGAACTCAGTTCGAATCGGTTTTAGGTTTAATTTAGGATCAGCTTAACTCAAGGCTACACTACAGAGATGTATTGGCTTGATTTAGAAAAAGCCCTTATGCACTCTGTGATTCGAGGCTACTTGAAAATGTGTGGGGGACAGTTGTCTGAGACGTCTACAACGGAAACAAGCAATATTTGAGCGTTGACTGAACTCAAGAAAGCCATTCAAGTAACCTCGAATCGGCTTCAGCCAACAGCGCTCCATGACCTTGTCATGACCATTCACAAGGATCAGCTTAACTTGAAACCATTCTCTAGTCACATTTCAATGAAATAAAACCTCCTATAGACATAGAAAGCTCTATTCGGACTTAATTGTGAAAAATTTGGGTAAAAAACATTTCTTTCAAAACATTCATTTCAAAAACATGAAATTTGTTCCACAACAACAAAAAATACATAAGCACAGTGAAAGTTCTGCCTTTCCCCAAGCTTTTGTCTGGAAACCCTATGCACTTTAGAATCGAGAATCGACTAGAATCAGTTATGAGGAATCCGAATCTGAACTCAGAATCTCTCAAACGATTTTGTGCCTGCAAAACCTCAATCAAAATGCTTTAAAAGCGGCTTTAATGGCAACAAAACGGATGCTTTAAAAGGCTTCTTTTTAGGAAAGATAGGGTACGTCGATGGTCTAGCGGATAACGCAATAGGTTTGGGCTCACAGGGTCGTGGTTCGATCCCTGACAGAGCTTTTCGTTTTTCTTTTTGAGCAACTTCTAGCATTTTGCAGCTAATTGTTTAGACAAAAGCTTACCTTGAGTTAAACATGTCCATTTTCGAGTTTTGGCGGCCGGGTCGGGACAGCGGGTCGGGTCAAGCTCAAAATTTTTGCCGGGTCGGGTCAGCGGGTCATCCGGGAAAAAAGCCGGGTCGCGGGTCGGGTCAGCAGGTCACTTTTGACCCGACCCGACCCGACCCGATCCGACCCGATCCGACCCAACCCGCTACCCATGTCTACCTTGAGTTCGTGCCTTTTCCTACAGTAAGTTCTAAATGCAAGAGAGCAAAAAAACTCAGATATATGGGAAAAAGAACCAAAAACAAGTCGCGGGGTTGAACTCTTGACCTCACGAGTTGAACTCTTGACCTCTTGACCTCTTAACCCCACAACTATGATACCGAGCTCTTAGCCAGTCGGCTGGTGGCTGAACGTTCTGCTTGGGGAAAGGTTTTTCTCTAATTTTGCCTCAAGATCGATCAAGTACAAGAAACCGAGTCAGCATTTCAATTTTTGCTTTTGCTAAGAAAAAGAAAAGCTATAAAAGGAAGCCATAGTTTTTTAAATTACCAACTAAAACTCACTAAAAATTTAAATAATATACCAGAAAGCTTGCCGTTTTTGAGTACAAAATACTTTCTTTTTTTGAAGATTTCTTTCCAAGAATCAGCGCTTCTTTCTTTTCCCCGAAAAAATTCAATTCAAATCGAGTTAAAAGTGTCCAACTTTTCTCTCAATTTCTATATAAAACAAGATTTTTTTTTTGAAAATCAAATAAACTTTGACACATTTTCGTAAAAATCACCGAAAAAATGTGATTTTTACAATTTGAAAGCAATTCAATTCAATGAAATGGAAAGGGGAATGAGATTTGAAACAGATGTCACATAAGAATAAGGATTGGAGAAGAAGGATTGGAGAGGAAGGATTGGAGAGGAAGGATTGGAGAGGAAGGATTCGATTGGAGATCAAGGATTTGAGATTTTAGAAATAAAATAGACAAATAAACAAGTTTAATAGAATATCGACAAGTAGAATTTCACTTAAACATTTAAAATTTGAAAAAAATAAACCTTTTTCTTGTATCTTTTAGACAACTCGATTTCGAGCCTGACTCCTTGAAGTAAAACTCTATTTTCTTTTGTTATTACTAGTAATTAGATTAGTTAGATAATAAAATTAGATTTAAATAGTTTGGTAATCAATTTTGTAATCAATTTAATAATTTCTATATAATTTTTAGATGCTTCTCGTGTGCATCAGTCGAATATCAATCACTTTTCGAGAGAAACTCCGCGCTAGCCGGCTCAGTCATGTAAGTCTGATTTTCATGTAAGTCATATAAGTGAGTGTCACATAAGAATAAGGATTGGAGTCTGGCTGGAGATCTTGAGCTTGATCTTGATCTTGAGCTCAAGATCAAGCTTCCTGGATAAGAAAATGACCTTAAAACCCTTGTCTAAACATTTTCCTATAATTTCATTGTAAAAACTCTTTCTTTAGCAAAATATTCCAATTCAGGGTCCCAAAATTCGATCAATTTTGCGACAGTGAGAGTGGTGTGCAGCAATTTTCTCCAGTGGAGAGTTGTCGATCAGCGTGCGTCACCGTCTTTGAGCCACATTATATTGGGGGTAAACTCTAAGAAAATCACCAAAAAGCTCTATGGATATTTATCTATAGATGTCAATAGACACCAATAGATATCTATAGATTTATCCTTAAGCTCTCCCCTTAAAATCTAGGCTTAAAAAGAGATCGATTTTCATTTCCAGGCCTCCAACTTCCCTATCGACCGTTTGTCTACATTCGTGGCTGTGCAGATCGGGTAAAGTTTTAAAGAGAATTGTTGTTTGATAAAAAATGGTACGTAGATTATTATTGATATTTAAAATTAACATTAGTTATGTAGAATTTGCATATTTACCAACCGCATATACTCTCCGAATTCAGGTCTTCGCCGCAATGGAGACTCGACCAGCTGAGGTCGACGTATTGCATCAAGATGAGATTTGTGTTTCATTGAAAATGTCATTAATTTATCCACAAGTGACTGCCAATGAAATTGTACAGGTTTGTGATAGAAAACCGTTCGTTTTATCAATAGATAGATGTCAATAGATGGCCAGAAATGCGAGGATTTTGACCTTATTATCCCCAATTCAAGTTCAAGCTCAACCTCAAGCTCAACCTCAACCTCAACCTCAACCTCAAGCTTAAGGCTCGCATTGTTCTCTCAATTTAGCCAATGTTTAAGTAGCAAAAGTTTAACAAGATCCAGAATTCGTGGCAAAAATTGGTGAGGGATTTGGGACGAATTTTTAGCTGGCTCCACGAGATTCTAATGCCTGGTTTCAGTCCTGGAACTGGAAAAGTAATGTAGGGAGTACTGTAAGTGGAAGCACTGCAAGCTACTCTAAAGTACCGTAGTGGCCTAGGAGTACTAGACTGGAAGTACTGTAGGGATTAGACTAAATATCCTAGGAGTACTGTAAGGGTCAAGGAACGCTGTGATGACTCTAGAAGAACTAGAGCTCTCAAAAGGTATTTTAATGATCCTAGAAGAACTCTAGAGCTCTTAAAAGGTACTAGTGGCCCAGAAGAACCTAGCTCTTGAAGGTATTTTAATGACCCTGAAGAACCTAGAGCCTCAGGTATTTTAATGATCCTAGAAGAACTCTAGAGCTCTTAAAAGGTACTAGTGGCCCTAGAAGAACTCTAGAGCTCTTGAAAGGTATTTTAATGACCCTAGAAGAACTCTAGAGCTCTCAAAAGGTACTAGTGACCCCAGAAGGACTCTAGAGCTCTTAAAAGGTACTTTAATGACCCTAGAAGAACTCTAGAGCTCTTAAAAGCTACTAATGACCCAAGAGTACTGTAATTGCAATATAAAACCCTGAACCAATCCTCGAAAATCCAATTCTAGGTGTGCTCTTGTGTGAACAACGCGTGTAATCACCGAACGCAACCCTCACCCGATTCCTCTTCATCCACAAATTCAATCTCATTCTTTATCCTCTTTCTATTCATATTTTTAGTGAAATTTTGATATTTATTAAAGAATTATTGGAAAATTTCAGCTCAATATCTTTCTAAAATGAAATCAAAAACATTTCCCTTCTTTTTTTCGATTCGCCGGTGTTCTCAATGCCTCCATTTGCCTGAATAAGTTTAAATATTTATTTTTTGAATAAAAAGTGATTAAACCCGTTGAAAATAGCTAGAGAACAGAAAGATTTGTAAAAAAAAAGAAAGAAAAAAAAAAGAAAGAAAAAAAATAAAGAAAAAATGATTCTACTAAAATTTTGAGAAAATTTTCGTTGACTCTTATTTAAAGGGGTGTTTTCTAAATTGCAACTGTCTGCAAAAGGCGCCATTTGGCGAGAAAACTACGGTAATCCGAGGAAAGCGCCAGCGAGAAAAATTTCATTTTTTCAAAAATTTCATTTCTCTCGTGCGTTCATTTCGATAATTTTAAGTGTTTTTCTCCTTTTGCGCAGTTTTCTTTGCGTTTTTTGTCCATATTTTAGAAAAGAATGCCAAATTCAACTCAGCAATGGGTTGCTATACTAGTTGCGGGGTAAGGACCCAGTCAGCGGGGCCTGATTTTGAAAAATTTCGGGTTTTCTTCCAGAAACCACTTTTTTTGTCTAATTTATGTTCCTTAATATGTTCCTTATTCTTAATACGTTTCTTATTTTTAATACGTTTCTTATTCTTAATACGTTCCTTATTCTTAATCCAGCCAATGTAGACTGATGACCTCATTCTAGGCTGAATACCTTAATCCAGAATAAATACCGTAATCCAGCTAATGTAGACTGAATATCTTATTCTAGCCTGAATACCTTAATCTAGACTAAATATCGTAATCCAGCTAATGTAGACTGAATACCATATCCTTATTCTTAATACGTTCTATCAATTAGAGAAAATTAGGCGCCGTTTGACACTTTTTTGGTGTTTCAAAATATGATTTATTCTATCAATAATTGTTAGTTTTTTTTATTACTTTTCACTGGACTAGCACTTATATCCGGCTCTAAACTAGCAAAAAACAGGGTGCGTCTATAATTTTTTGACAGAGTGTATGTTATGTATGTTGAAAATGGTCGAAATATATGCTTGATCCTGACCATTTTTTGACCCCAAATGTTAAAGATTCCGGCTGTTAAAGGATTTTAAAGCGTACCACTCGATTCCGGCTCCTTTAAAAATGTTGCCGTTACCCTTGGCAATGTCCCATTTTATAAATTACGCTGAATCCGATCTTGATGAAAATTTGCTTATTTACCTATAGCGAAAAAAACACATCTAGTAGACTTTAGATTTTGCCTTTAGCCTTTAGCCTAAAGTGCCGGTCAGGTGGGATACCCACGTCACCTGGTCGACGCTTTAGCACAAATCCTAAGGTCTACTAGATGTGTATTTTTCGATATAGGTAAATAAGCAAATTTTCATCAAGATCGGATTCAGCGTAATTTATAAATGGGACATTGCCAACGGCAAAATTAAGCCCGGTCCCACTGGGTTTCCTCCAACTAGTATAGCACCCAGCGAGGTTTTCAAATGCTTAACTCTGCTCGAAATAATGAGATCTATTGATTGTGCACGAATTCCTAGCCTCAACCCCAATCACTTCAAAGTTGCAAGCAATTGTTGCAACTCCATTAATGCTAGAATTGATTTTCTTGAGTTGTTAAAGTCGTCTTTCAATTATTTCGAGAAATTAATTTTTTCATGTTTTTATTTTGTTATATTTTGTATGTTTTACGTTTCCCGAAATTTAGTAGAGCCAAAAAGATGGATAAACCAAAAAGTTAGGATGTTTAAAGTTTAACGAGGCAAATTTGGGTACCTCTGGTTTGTAACGGTTCTTTTTCCCTCTCTTTCTGGCATGACCAGAAAGATGACTCTTTTTCCTGACTGACATGACTCTTTTTCCCTCTTTCTGGTGTCTTGGTAAGTCTGCCTGCTCTCAAGCTCACTGTCGCTCTTTGCCTACGGGTTCGGATCCGCTTCCCGAAAAACTTTTTGCTTTCTTTTGCAAAACATTTTAAAATCCGAAGGTGCATCCGAACCCGTGCGCGAGAGGGGGATTGAGAGCCCGCAGACTTACCACTACACCATGCGGTCCTGAGCGAAAGGAAAAGAACCCTTATAAACCGGCGCTTCTGCGAAACCCTGTATTTCCCTATATTCTAAAACGTGTCAAAAACTACCGTAATCTTGTCTCTTAGTTTTTATCTAATATGATCATTTCTATACAGCTCATCAAACTATATAGTGTGCCAGATGCCGCGCGTTTACATTCGGGAATGGAAAGGAATGGAAGACATGAAATGTAATGGAAAACATGAAATGGAATGGAAAACGCAAGAACAAAGCCAACAGTGAAGGAATTGGGTAATTAGAACGAATGTTTTTAAAATTTTTAAATTCAAGGGTCCAATTGCGAGGGTCCAATTTTGAATTTTGGTGACGGTGAGGCTTGGCAAGGAGTGCTAGGGGCAGAGACGCGTAAAGAGCCACCGAAATTCCCCGACAACAAGCTCTTTTCCTAAAATTTCATTGAAAAAAAAATAGAAATTAGCTTTTCTTAAATGAAAACTTCAAAGCTAATTTCGATTTTTCGCATTTTCGAATTCAAAATTTCAAAACGAACAACTTGCAGACTCGGCCGTTTCTCGCCTTTCGAATTCTTTCGCTTTAATGCTTCCGATTTTTGCAGCTTGTAATTGATGACTCTAAAAAGTGACTAAATTATCGTAATCCGTTTCCGTTAAATGAAAAATTACGGTACTTTATGTGGCTAAATGTTAGCTAAATGTTTAGCTAAATTCTTAGCTAAATTCTTAGCTAAATTCTCACCTCAACGCCAGCAAAGCGTTCTCATTTTCGCTGCTCAATAGCCGCTGTAAACTCGCCGAAGAATGCGACTTTTCGATTGTCTTCGATGGGAGAGTTAACGATTGGGAAAATGGAAGAGATTGACCCTAGAAAGTTGAGGGAGATCTCTTTATTTCTTCTTTATCTCTTTATCTCTTTATCTCTTTATTCCTCTATCTCATAAATAATCTAGTAGAAGAAGTCAATTGTATATGTTGTATTCATTGCTTAGTATTCATTGCTTAGTGTTCATTGCTAGTGTTCATTGCTTAGCGTTCATTGCTTAGTATTCATTGCTTAGTGTTCATTGCTTAGTGTTCATTGCTTAGTATTCATTCATTGCTTTCCGACTTTCCTAAAGCCTTTATACTGTAACTGAAAGCTAACTATGTTGCTCTATAGCTTATTTTCTTTAAGCAAGTAAAAAGCCTTTAGATTCATTGCCGATTTTAGGACATTTGATGCCCTTGCCACTGGCAAACTTTGAGCTCAAATTTCTTGGTGTACAGCTGTTCAATTGAAATGTTCTTTGTAGCATTAGATGGATGCGCCAAGTCTTTCTCTATCCATTGATATAAAAACTATTTCAATTGAACAGCTGTACACCAAGAAATTTCAGCTCAAAGTTAGATTTTTAATGGGAAAAGGGGCGGGACCGCCACTTTTCCCATTGGCAAACTTTGAGCTCAAATTTCTTGGTGTCCAGCTGTTCAATTGAAATAGTTTTTATATCAATCGATAGAGAAAGACTTGGCGCGTCTAATGATACAAAGAACATTTAGATTGAACAGCTGTACACCAAGAAATTTGCGCTCAAAGTTAGATTGCTAATGGCAGGGCGTATCAATGTTTGATAATCTTACTTGTCACCTCCAGTTTTCTGACTATTGTAACTATCATTTCTAAATCCTTTTCTATTCACCCCAACACTGTGCACAGTTAATTGAGCGTTAAGTGCGCTGGCTTCGGATCGTCGTCTTGATAGAAGAACCAATGGGGGAACTGAGCGATTGAGTGACGTTCTAAAAAAATCTCAACATTACTATCGATTAAAATCTAGATTAAATAAAGCTTTTGAAATTAGAAATTGTTTACTTTATTTGTTTTTCTTCACAGAGTCAAGAGGATACGAAAAATGCGATCAAAACAGCTTTAATCTAATCATTAGTTTCATTTAATCAATTCAAAATCCTTAAAATCCTTCCTCAAAAGCCTATTGATTCTATTGGTAATGATAAAGATAAAATAAAGATGATAAATATCAATCAGTCAATCAATGTCAATTGTTATCAATTGTTAACAACTCACAATGTCAATTGTTGACTGTCACAGCTGACTGTCACAGCTGACTGCCACAGCTGACTGCTACAGCTGACTGCCACAGCTGACTACCACAGCTGACTACCACAGCTGACTGCCACAGCTGACTGCCACAGCTGACTGTCACAGCTGACTACCACAGCTGACTGTCACAGATTCATTTAATCAATTCAAAATCCTATTAATTCTATTGCTAATGATAAAGGTTTAAAGATAATGATAAAGATAAACCAAATAACTATTTAATTGATAAATGTCAATTGTCAATCAATGGCAATTGTCAATCAATGGCAATTGTCAATCAATGTCAATCAATGCCAATTGTTATCAACTCACAATGTCAATTGTTGACTGTCACAGCTGAACTCTCTCAATGTCGTTCTTGGAGAAGCATCGCCATCATTGCTCTAAATCATTGCATCATTGCATCATTGCATCGACTGTATTTGTGAAATATGTACTCTGTGCTCGAGTCCTGTAAACGCATCCCCTCTACCGCACTGAGCTCTTCATTTTTCCAGTTATTACTATGAGAAAAACAGCAAAAAGTCTGTAGTTTGAGAAAACGAAAGAGTTGATTTTACAGAACTATTTTGAAAGTACTTTGTACTTTGTAAAGTACTTTGAGCTCAATTCTGTAAACGCAAATCTTTTTTCGAACCAATTCCTAACACAAACAAGTGTTTAAATTCGCTTTTTAAATTGAAATTCGCTTTTTTTGATTATAAGCTTTTTGATTATTATGAAATTCGTTTCATTGACTAAATATTAGTTGAATAAGTTTATTAATTTTACCTCTGTATCCGTAGCAGCTTGCAGAATTGCGTCAAGATCGCGCAAAACAGCGCGCAACTTCTCAGGCTCAACCTGAAAGTTTTAAAGGAAGTTTTTAAAGAAAGAATTTTAAAGAAAGAATTCGATCTAGAAGAGATAAGAAATCGATTTTTTTGATTTCAAAAACTATCCATTAACATACACTGAAATGCTCAGCCACAATTTGCACCAAATCCGCGACTTTCATCGCCTGTCCACCGAACCAGATCTCGGCCGCCTCAGCGCCGAAAACGATTCCGTTTCTGAAGGAATTTCATTATATAGCCGAAACTAAGTGATTTTTAAAACGTAGACTTTCTATTAAAAGCATTATGAACATCATTATGACTTTCCCTACAAACCTTCCAATATTATGCATACTCTGAAAAACGCCTTGCATTGAGCTGATCACCATTGTCACGATGATCACACCTGGAAAATAAACAAATTCTGTGAATCAGCTAGAGCAGAACACTGCTAATTTATTTAGTGCTTATGGCTCTAAAGAAAGCCGTTGGGTTGGGGATTTGTTGAATGTTGTTGAATGAGGCTACAGAGATCTCCATGGTTGTTGGTTTGGTTGTTGAATGAAGCTCAAAGATCTCAATGAATTGTAGAACTGGAAACCGTAGCTGGAATCTCGTGTTGGTAGTCTGTTGTCTCTGCTGGCTAAAAGCTGAAGTCAAGAGCCTCTTTCAATTCCTCCAAATCAGAGATTCTGCCTCTGTTTACGCTTGCTGATGCGAAAATCGATTCAGCTTCGATGCTGATGCACGTCGATCTCGACATCAAACGCCAAGATAGGATGAAGTACAAACCGTTGTGTCCATTGTTGAAGCATTGTTGAAGGCCAGTCATTCTATTGTCAATATCTATGATGTCTTTATGCTTGAGACTGAGCCTGAGCCTGAGCATGCAAAGGTAGATGACATTCTTTAGAGGGAAATGAGTTACAAAGAAGATGCCGATGTAGAAGTTGATTCGAAGTTGTTTTCTTGGCTGCCGACAAGCTTGTCGATAGACTTGTGAGATTATTGATACAAACGGGACGTTTTTTAGCTCTTTTTAGAACTTTTAGCTCCTTTTAGAACTTTTAGCTCTTTTTAGAACGTTTAGTTCTTTCTAGAACAGCAATTAGTCTGCAAATTGTTTCATTGAAAAGTCAAGAATATCAGGTTTTGATTTCTATCTCAGACATAGCAAAATTATAGGTAAATGTCTTAAAAAGCTTCTCAATACATCGAAACTTAACTATCGATAAGCTCGATAATCGATTCTTTCGATATCGATACAGTTTCATAACTTTGTTTTGAAGGGAGGATTGGTTTGAGCTTTATAAATGAGTCTCTCAGTGATTCTTCAACTTGATCCTCTGAAAGGAAGAGCTCAACTCCAGCAGAACCAACTCCTCAAGTCTCTCCCTGATTCTTCAACTTGTTCCTCTGAAAGGAAGAGCTCAACTCCAGCAGAATCAACTCCTCAAAGCGTTGATTCCAATTCTTGTTGAATTAACAATTTTTTTTTCTTTATTTAGTCTCACAACCGTCAAAGTATCGAAAATTTGATTAGATCTAGTAAACCGGGCTTTGAATCTTTAAATTTTACATTGGAAAGTATTTTTACATTTATTTAGTACAATAGTATTTTACAAACTATTAAACCAGTAAACTTGAAACACAAACCCATCGCCAAATAAGCCATTGTCACGTAGAATTCCCAGCGTCGATCAGTGGCCGGGATTTCGTCTCCATAACCGATTGTTGTAATTGAAATGAAACTGAGAACTATATGATTGGATTGAAATTTCTTAGAAATGACTTACGTGAGGTAGAAAGACTCAAAAAAATCTTTGTTATCCGCCCATAAACTGTACAAAAGAGCGCCAAGAAAAATGTGAAAGAGTAAAAGGCCGTAGGAGATGTGAAGCGGCATCTCACCGCCGAAGATCTCACCCTGAAATATGGCTTTTCCATACTCTATTGCTTTCCATTGCTTTTCCATAATCTAATCCACATTCTAATAGTTACTGTAGTGCGCTGACTGTCGGTGTAGCTCATTGGTAAAGCTCATCCTCAACAAAAGCGAGGCAGAGAAAGCGGCTATACACTCGGTGGGCGGAAGACCCGGAAGCAGCTCGCGTTAACCAGCTCGCGTTAACCAGCTCGCGTTAACCAGCTCGCGTTAACCAGCTCGCGTTAAGCAGCTCGCGTTAAGCAGCTCGCGTTAAGCAGCTCGCGTTAAGCAGCTCGCGTTAAGCAGCTCGCGTTAAGCAGCTCGCGTTAAGCAGCTCGCGTTAAGCAGCTCGCGTTAAGCAGCTCGCGTTAAGCAGCTCGCGTTAAGCAGCTCGCGTTAAGCAGCTCGCGTTAAGCAGCTCTTCAGCTTGTAGCGAATACCTCTTTTTTCGAGTAACTCCTCCGCAAGATCCAGTAAAGATCGACGAGGAATTGCCCGTTGTTTCCGAGTACCACATAGGTGAGTGGGGTTCCTGAATAAAAAAAATGAAAAAAAGGACAAATTCTAGCGTTTATTTAATCTCTATAATTGTTTTTCTGCTGTGTTTCTTTACGTAAATCGATTCAGCTTCTATTTGAGTCGATTGAGAGGCGATTTAATCGTTATTCTCCAAAATTAGCACTCACCAATCAATATGTACAACATGATAAAGCATTTTCCGTAGTACGTCGCCGGCACTATGTTACCCCAACCTGGAAATCTTTCAAGTTTACAGGAACCTGGAAATCTTTCAAGTTTCAATCTTTCATCTTCTGTACAACAGGAGTTACGGTAACTCTGGATAGGTTACGGTAACTCTGGCTAGGCTACAGTAACCCTGGCTAGGCTAGGGTAACTCTGGATAGGCTACGGTAGCTCTGGCTAGGTTACGGTAGCTCTGGATAGGATACGGTAACTCTGGTTAGGTTACGGTAACTCTGGCTAGGCTACAGTAACCCTGGCTAAGCTACGGTAACTCTGGATAGGCTACGGTAACTCTGGCTAGGCTACGGTAGCTGGGTTACGGTAGTTTACTTATTTCTTGTTGTAGGCCGTTTACGATAGCCCTAATAGGCCAGTTTACTGTATAAAGCTTGGCTACAGTACGCCAGAGATTACGATAACTTTAGTAAGTTCCAGAAGAATGCCAGAAGAAACAAACCAATCGTCGAGGTGGTGATGAAGCAGAAAAGTGCTGCTTCATGAATGCTTTTGTAGTGGATTCGAGGCTCAATCTTGTGAAAAATCAACGCTCCAATATACCAATAGAGAATCAATAAAATATTCAGAAGAATGTGCGGAATTGAAGCATAGAGAAACTGAAAAATTAGCGATCACAAGTTTCCATATTCCTACCGTAACCCGAGGGCTAGCTGCTGACGGGATTACGGTGTACTGTAGATCAGCATACTGTAGCTGGGTTACTGTAGATCAGGATACTGTAGGCTTAGACTAGATTATTGTAGGTTTAGGCTAGGGTACGGTAGCTCAATTTACTGTAGGTTTAGGTCAGGTTAAGGTAGCTCAGGTTACTGTAGCCTTAGATTAGGTTATTGTAGGTTTAGACAGGGTTACGGTAGCTCTAATAGTACGGTAGCCAGTTTACTGTACGAATATTGGCTACAGTAATCCTACAGAGAGCTAGGTTTTGGCTGGTTACAGGAGCCCAGGTTACTGTATTTGGCCAGGCTACTTTAGCCCCAATAGTAGCCCAGGTTACTGTAGCTCTAAGATAGATTACTGTAGCTTTAGGCCAGGCTACTGTAGCTCTAAGCCAGGTTACTGTAGCCCGAATAGTAGCCCAGGTTACTGTAGCTCTAAGAAAGATTACTCTAGCTCTAAGCCAGGTTACTGTAGCCCGAATAGTAGCCCGAATAGTAGCCCGAATAGTAGCCTAGGTTACTGTAGCCCTGCACCAGGTTTTGTAGAATCTACAGTACTCAAACTCAGCTAGGCTACAGTAATAAGCTGTAGCCCAGATTACTGTAGCTCTAAGGAAGGTTACTGTAGCTCTAGGCCAGGCTACTGCAGCTCTAAGCCAGGCTACTGTAGCCCGAATAGTAGCCCAGGTTACTGTAGCTCTAAGAAAGATTACTCTAGCTCTAAGCCAGGCTACTGTAGCTCTAAACCAGGTTACTGCAGCCCGAATAGTAGCCCGAATAGTAGCCCAGATTACTATCGCCCTGCACCAGGTTCTGTAGAGCCTACAGTACTCAAATTCAGCTAGGCTACAGTAATCAGCTAATCGCTGACCTCGCGCCGAATCTCCTCCTGTGTACAGCAGCGATCCTCAATGAATTGCTCTTTCCAAACCTGTAAAAAGATATCCAATCATTAGATTCAACGATGCATCGAATTCACTCACAGCATATGGTTTAGCGGCAGGATGTGAGTGTCTTTTCATTCAATAAAAAAAAAGATACTCAGCTGGAAATGGACCGAGAATGAAATGGCGATCAAAATGACGAAATGACGACTTCTTGATCAAGAAAAGACTGAAATTAAGCCTAAAAGTGGGTTTTTTTTGAAAACTTTCAAAAAACCAATAAAGAAACAGTCATTTTACTGTCAAAATCTATTGATCTATTGATTTAAGGCATTAAAAAGCGTTAAATGCTTGAAAATGTAGCTTTCTTTATTGGAACAACGTTAGAGCTCATCAAAAAACAACTTTTTCTCGCTTTCTCGCTTATTTTTTACGTTATTTTCCAAAAAAACATGATTTCAAAAAGATTTCAAAGATTTGAAGCGTTTCTGATAGTCTAAAATGATTAAAAGCTGTCTAAAGTCATCAAAAATCATCAAAAATTGCCCTAAAATTGTCTAAAATCATCAAAAATCACCAAAAAATTTTTTTTTTTGCTTTTATTTAATCACTTAAAAGTTTAAGAAAACTAAAGTATTTTTTTAAAGAGTAATAGCACATTTTGTAGAGCTAAATAAGAGCTTTTAAATGCTATATAGTACTTGTTAATATAATGCTTATATCTAAAGTTATAGGCCTTTGAAATAGGATCACTTTTTTGAGGAGATTTTGACAGGTCCTGTATCAAAATGATCAAAAATTTGATATAATAGGCTTGCTAGAGTCATTAGGATTACTGTAAGTAAGCCTGATACAGTAGGAATTATGTCTAAAGAGGGAATTAGGGTCTTTTTCTGAATCGTGGCCTTCTCAAAGTTTCATGGCTAGTTGGCCTCAGCTGGCCTCAGGCCTCAGCTGGCCTCAGGCCTCAGCTGGCCTCAGGCCTCAGCTGGCCTCAGGCCTCAGCTGGCCTCAGGCCTCAGCTGGCCTCAGGCCTCAGCTGGCCTCAGGCCTCAGCTGGCCTCAGGCCTCAGCTGGCCTCAGGCCTCAGCTGGCCTCAGGCCTCAGCTGGCCTCAGGCCTCAGCTGGCCTCAGGCCTCAGCTGGCCTCAGGCCTCAGCTGGCCTCAGGCCTCAGCTGGCCTCAGGCCTCAGCTGGCCTCAGGCCTCAGCTGGCCTCAGGCCTCAGCTGGCCTCAGGCCTCAGCTGGCCTCAGGCCTCAGCTGGCCTCAGGCCTCAGCTGGCCTCAGGCCTCAGCTGGCCAGTCTGACAGTCTTCTCCATCCATCCAAGTCTTTAGAACTTTAAACTACTGCAATATTACAGCCTTACAGTACGCTTTACAGTAATCTTACAGTAAGCCATTCCAAAAACAATGCGCATATTTTATAAAACAAATTAAAAAATCCAGAAGAAAAGTCAAAGAAAAAGACGAGCTTTTTGGTGCGCCAGATGGGCGAAGTTTACGAGAATTTGGAGCACAAAGGACATAAAGTTAAAAAAAAATTCGAATTCAACCAAAAATAGCTCAATGATCTCATTCTTTCTTTCTCTCCTTTTACACGCGAAAACTTTCACCTTTTCACCAAATCCCATTTTTTCACGCATCAGGGAAATTTGAGTCAACAAAAAAGCAAAAAAGAAAGCAAAAAAAGGCAAAAAAATCGAAATCGATTGAAAATTCGTGATGAGAATTTGAATTTGCCAAAATTTATGCAAATTTGTTGCAAAATTATGCAAATTTGATGCATAAATTGATGATTTAAGAGGAATTAAAAGCTCAAATATATTGATACTTTATTCAGGACATGAAATAAAGCGTAATCAGTCAGACAATACACAAATCTACACATAAATACATAGAGAATGATGAGATATTTTACTCGGCGATGTGGAGGCGGGGAGAAAAGAAGATAGATAGAAGATAGGCTTCTTGCTTTAATAACCTCAGGCCATGAATGGGCCAACCCAGTGGAAGAGTGAACTCCGCTAGAGAAGGGATCTCTAGTCAGCTCTAGAGAAGACACCTCTAGTCTGGGCGCACGGGCTAGGGAAGAGAACCCTAGGGGGGCCGAACCCCCACACCCTCAGTTTGGAAGTGAGAACTTAACCAATATCTCCATTAAAGCTTCTAATTTCTTAGGAAAACCCAGCAATTGCCCACAATAACAAGAGAAAAGCTTAGATTCATCAAAAATTGAGAAAAAAACCACTGAATTAGCAACTCAGAGACAAGAAAAAGGAAAATGAATATCACCAATCGATTCGTTGACCCTGAAAATACTAGGGCACAAATTTATAGCTGAATATCTTCTTTTTTTAGCTATTTACAAAGCAAAAGAGAAATCCCTGGAAATGACTGTGAGTGTTCTTTGTGCGGCTGCGTAATCGCTTGTGATCTGGCAAACATGGCAGATCTGGAGAACATGGGTTTCCTTTTAATCTCTGAATCTCCCTTGTCTCCCTTGTCTTTCTTTTTTCTTCTGACTGCAAAAAGGCGTGCATAGCTCAGTGGTAGAGTGTCTGGTTAGTAGACGGGGGGTCCGGGTCAAGGTCGTGGGTTCGATTCCCCTAGGTGCCAAGCTATCTCAATTTCTCTTTTTTTTAGCGGCAAAGGCTAGATCTGGTTCAGGTCAAAAAGTTCTGGTTTAAAAAAACAGTTTAACAATCCAGAAAAAGCTTAAATATTTGCTTAAACAGGAGCCAAATTGGGAGAATAATGCTGTTGCTGCCAAAGCTGTTGCTGCCAAAGCTGTTGCTGCCAAAGCTGTTGCTGCCAAAGCTGTTGCTGCCAAAGCTGTTGCTGCCAAAGCTGTTGCTGCCAAAGCTGTTGCTGCCAAAGCTGTTGCTGCCAAAGATGTTGCTGCCAAAGCTGTTGCTTTCTGCTTTTCTAAGCTTTCCCTTTGCCTTTGCTTTCTTCTCTAACTCGTCAAATTTCTTCATAATATTTCTATATATCAAAGCCGATCTTTTTTTTTTGCCAAACGTTTCCGAGAGATCTTTTTCGCTTTTTTCCCACTTTGATTTGATCATTTCTGTGCTCAGATCCGTTTTCTGCAAAATGAAAGAAATTGATTTGAAAAGAGTGATTTTATTGACTATTTTTAGATTTTAATCAAGTCTTTTATCGAAATGAATCTTTAAATATTTAAATAAAATAATAGATTTGATTGAATAAATTAATAAATAAAAGAACAAAGAGCTCTTCTAGTCCATTAAAATAATCATTTCTTCCATTTACAAAAGCACAAAAACGATTTTTTAAATAAAAGAAAGCAATCGTTTAATGTAAGAGCAAAGTATCATATGATCTTGTAGCGAATTCAATTCTGCGTCGATTGGTACCAAATTTGTGAGTTTAGGTTAAAAATTGCCGGCGCTACAACGTTTGATTCAAAATGCGGCCGAACCCGCGTAGCCGATTATGAATAAGTGGGTCTACAGGCATCCAAACATCAAGTATTTGGTATCATTCAACGCAGAATCATTCATAATTATGCTAAAATTTTTAAATTAGCAAGATTGGATAAAAAGAAAAAAAATTATGGGGCCTCAAAGTTTTCTCTCAAGCAAACAGTTTTTTTTGCTCTAATTTTTTTTCTTTTTATTCAATCTTTGTAATTTCAAAAATTTAACATAATTATGAATGATTCTGCGTTGAATGATACCAAATACTTGATGTTTGGATGCCTGTAGACCCAGTTATTCATAATCGGCTACGATAGACTGTATACAGTACAGTACAGTACAGTACAGGCGTTCAACCATCAAGTATTTGGTATCATTCAACGCAGAATCATTCATAATTATGTTAAATTTTTAAAATTAGAAAGATTGGATAAAAAGAAAAAAAATTACGGGACTTCAAAGTTTCCTCTTGAACAAACAGTTTTTTTTTGTTCTAATTTTTAATTTTAATTAAATTAAATTAAAATAATCATTTCTTCCATTTACAAAAGCCCAAAGTACATTGAAAAACGATTTTTTTAAATAAAACAATTTCTGATAAAGTTCTGGTAAAGTAAAGAGACGAAATAAGGGATTCAAAGCATTAGAAAAGCTGTGTTTCTCAAATCTAAGCACAAAGTACACTAAAAGAACGTTTATAATAAGATAAAAACAAATAAAAGGGTTTAAATAAAGAAAAAAACTCACGCTTGATTTTTCTATTTACGATTTTTCTGTAAAAACTTTTTTCATTTCTGTCATTTTCAATCAAATCATTTCATTGATTCAATATTTTTAGAGAGAAAAGAAAAATAGAAAAAGAAATAGAAAAATAGAAAAACTTTCACCAAAAAAGAGACCGAATTAAAGTAAACAAGTTTACAGCAAATTATCTAATCTAAACGAAATTCCTAGAGGTAAACGTAGTGATCCTTATCAAATTTCGATCGATTCTCATCCCCATCACCTTTCCCTTTCCTTGCGAACCGTATTAGTAGGGTTTGGAATGAGCTCTCGTTTGGAATGAGCTCCGGTCTTAGACTTGGAATAAGCTCCGGTCTTGGACTTGGAATGAGCTCCGGTCTTAGACTTGGAATAAGCTCTCGTCTTGGACTTGGAATAAGCTCCCGTCTGGTATCTTCTCGTCTTTAGGAAATTGAAAGTATCTGTAAACGAAATAGATCTTATTCTCACCTCAAAGCTGCCCTATAGCTTTTTCTTTTTACTTTTATTTAAATCTTTTTCTTCCTATGTTTCATAACTATTTTTAGACTATTTTTAGTTTTCTTTCTTTTTTTTTGTGAAAGTATTATAGAAATATGTTATTTGCGGTTATGATTATTTGATTGATTCGTTTCTATTCGCCCTCTGAATAAAGCATATATATGTTGTGTCCGATTTAGATTTCCGTCCGATTTAGATTCAATCTAAATCGGACGTCCGATTTAGATTGAACTTATCGCGGACGTCCGATTTAGATTACAGTCTATATCGGCGTCCGATTTAGATCAACAAATCTTATATAGATTGAACAATAATACGTCTTGTATAGATTGAACAATATATAAACATGTAATATATTTTTAAGCGTTTTCTGTAGTTTTCTGCATTTTCGGTCTTTTATTGATTACAGTCTATATCGGACGTCCGATACAGATCGAACAATAATAAACGTGCTTAATATATGTTCTTAAGCGTTTTTTGCAATTTTCTGCGCTTTTCAAAGAATTCAAGATGTCACAATAGCATGTTCAAGATGCCACAAAGAATTCAAGATGTCACAATGTCACAACTCTGCAATTCAAGATGTCACAATAGCCTAAGCTGCAAAAATAAATAGAAATTTTTAACTCGTTCGTTGTTGTTGTTAGTTTTTTGTTGTTATATGTTGTAATTTTGCATCTATTCTGTTAACGCTAATAAATTGTTTCATAGTTGGGTTTTCTTTTCAGAAAAAGACAATAAAATTTCCTTGAAAAGCGCAGAAAATTGCAAAAACGCTTAAGAACATATACCGTATTTACTCTATTAGTGGGGTCCCCCACTATTTTTTCAATCCCCTTCCAGACGACCCCACTATTAGAGAGGACCCCACTATTAGAGAAATTTAAAAGAACATAAAACCAAAGTTTTAAATTGAAAAGATATCAATTTTTCTCCGAAATTCTTGACAAAACAAGTTTGGCTTCATATTTTATTTAGCTTTAACCGTAACAAAACATTAACAAACAGTAAAAGAACTAATCCAAGAGATCAACAATTGATGTATCACTTTCGTTACCAATATTAGAGAGGACCCCACTATTTTTTCAACCCCCCTCCAGACGACCCCACTATTAGAGAGGACCCCACTAATAGAGTAAATACGGTATTAAACATGTTTATATTATTGTTCAATCTATATAAGACGTCCGATTTAGATTCAATCTAAATCAAACGTCCGATATAGACTGTAATCTAAATCGGACGTCCGCGATAAGTTCAATCTAAATCGGACGTCCGATTTAGATTGAATCTAAATCGGACGGAAATCTAAATCGGACACAACATATATATATGTTACGTCCGATTTAGACTCAATCTAAATCAGACGTCTGATTTAGACTCAGTTGTTGTTTTTTATGTTTTACGCACGTCACTGACACGTCAAATTTGGGCTAAAAGGCAAAAACTGCGGAAAAGCGTTAAGTTGCGTAGTTTTTGCCTTTTAGCCCAAATTTGACGTGTCAGCGAGGTCTGATTTGTCGAAATTCGGAATCTACGCATACGATTCCCTTCTATGAACACTTTTTGAAGCTCTACGACCTTTCCTAAGGCCTTTTCCAGCAAAAAAATGGTCGCATTTGTCCCACCCCCGATTTTCTCTTTTGGATTACTGTAATATAGTAATTTTTAAGTATTCAACCTTATTTTTTTGTTCTTTTTACTGTATTTTCCTGTATTTTCCTTTTTTACTTGAAAATTCACTTTATTTAAAAAAAAACCAAAAAATACATGAAAAATGAAGAAAAATGAAGAAAAATGAGAAAAATGAGAGCATAAAAATGACTTATTCAGCTCGAATCTTGCTTTTTCAGCGACTATTCCAGTTGCCTTTTATTTAAAAGTTTGCTTTTTGCGAATCTCTTTTGCGAAAACAACTACCGTAATTTGTTGAAACATTTTTTCGACATTTGATAGAGTGAAATTGATTTAACATAAGCTCCAGCGATTCACCAAATGAACAAAAGCACAGCAAAGAAGAGAACATTGTAATTGAATCGTGAGAAATTGTACAATTGCGGAAAAGAATTGAAGGCTCAATTGGTTTTAAAACTCCATTGGGTTTTTGAGGGGTTTTTTGAGAAAAAGGAAATTTTCTGGCACTGGGCGGGATCGAACCAGGGATGGAACCAGGGATGGGACTAGGGATCGATCCAGGGATCGAACCAGGGATTGAACCAGGGATGGAACCAGGGATTGAACCAGGGATGGAACCAGGGATTGAACCAGGGATGGAACCAGGGATTGAACCAGGGATGGAACCAGGGATGGAACCAGGGATGGAACCAGGGATCGAAGCCGAGGCGGTCTCCCGGTTACCGAGCGCTTTGCCACTGAGCCAGAAATTGTACAATTGCGGACAATTTTGAGAAGAATTGAAGGCTAAATGATTTTAAAACATTTTGAGAGGTTTTTTGAGAAAAAGTAAATCTTTTGGCAGCGACCGGGATCGAACCCGCGATCCAAGCACGGGTGGCTCTCCCGGTGACCGAGCGCTTTACCACTGAGCCAAGGATGGCGTTGGGAGGGGATCGGGGAAAAGGGTTTTTTGAGAAAAAATAAATTTTTTGGTGATGGCCGGGATCGAACCCAGGATCGGAACTAGGGGCGGTCTCCCGGTGACCGAGCGCTTTACCACTGAGCCAAGGAGGACGTTGGAAGGGGGTCGGGGAAAAGGGTTTTAAACCATCGGCCTTCAAATCAAAATTTCATTTTTTTTTCAAAAATACTTCTAAAATCAGGGAAAAATAGGAAAAAGAGCAAAAATGAAAGTCTTCACAAAAAAAGACCGAAAATCAATGAAACCTTGTTTTTTTGGCGGTTAAAATGATCAAAATTCAATTGAAAATCAATTGAAATTCAATTGAAATCAATTAAAATTCAAAATTTCATAAAGAAAAGAAAACCGGCATTCACTGGAAGAAAAAAAAGAGGGAAATCAAAGGAGTTTTTAAAAAAAAGCTTTTTTTCAGTGTACTTTGTGCTTATGCATAAACGCATTCGCTCTAGTGCACTGAAATCAAATATAAAGACAAATTTGAACCTAAAGCTAGGCGAAAATCTCAGATCAAAGCCCCTTTTATGCAGGGAAGAGTGCAAGCTCTTTGAGAGGGTTTTCAAAGCAAAAAAAAAGAATCGAATTAAATAATGAAACACTGGAAACTCGAAAAAATGGAAAAACTCGAAAAACTTGGAAAATTCACTTATTTTTCTTCATTAACCGATTTTAAAGCAAATAAAACCCCTTGATACGTGATTCCATCGATTTCCACTGAGACAACCATCGATTTTGAGTCATTTTCTGAAATTTCTGCTTAATGAAATCCAGCTGAACGTTACAGTTATCCGTTACAGTTATCCGTTACAGTTATCCGTTACAGTTATCCGTTACAGTTATCCTTTACAGTTATCCGTTACAGTTATCCTTTACAGTTATCCTTTACAGTTATCCTTTACAGTTATCTGAATCGAATTAAATAGCTCAGTAAAAGAAGAATTTTTGAAAATCTAAGCTTTGAATTACGAAAATGAGCAGATTTTAGTTTAAATCTAGTTGAAATCCAGTTCAAAATTCAGTTTAAACTTAGTTTAAATCGAGTCTAAACTAGAGTTTAAATCCCGGTTCAAATCCAGTTTAAACTACAGTTTAAACTCAGTTTAAATCCAGTCCAACTTCAGTTCAAATCCAGTTTAAATCCGAGTTCAAATCCAGTTCAAAATCCAGTTTAAACTAGAGTTTAAATCCCGGTTCAAATCCAGTTTAAACTATAGTTTAAATTCCAGTTCAAATCCCAGCTCAAATCCAGTTCAACTTCTTTAAAGTTAACCTGATTACTGTCATGTTAAAGCTATCAATAGTTAGACTACAATAATCTAAAAAAATAAGACTCAAATGAGATTACCGAATCCAAATCTGGAAGCTAAAAGCTGGCTTATTATAGTTATCCTAGCTACCAAGATCCCAACTAGACTACAGTAACCGAAAAGTCGATAGGCAAAAAGCTAACGTTTAGGCTAATCCTTAAAAGTGCCTAAGGATTGCTAGGTTAAAGCTTACACTAACCAATCAAGAATAGTTTTTGGTTGACACCTATAAGCCTACAAAGTTACAGTACTTTTAACTTGAGTCTTACGATATTCAATCAAGAATAGTTCTTAGGCTTAGGCTTAGGCTTAGGCTTAGGCTTAGGCTTAGGCTAAGCCCGTCTACAGTACTTTTCACAAACCTTTATTACTGGTAATTTTGATACTTGTTGCTGGCATTGAGAGATTGAGACCATTTGTGGAAGTGGAGGGATTCGTGTGGGAGGGGATCGATTGTGACTCGTCGTGGGTGGAGAGACGAGCTCGTTTTGCTGAAATTAGATTTATTAGAAAGTTTAGATCGCAAATCTGAGAAATTGGTAGACTCAATGAATGACTCTAATCGATTCGCCGACCCGGGAAACCCCAGGGTACAAATTCACAGTTGAATTTCTGTTTACAAAGAAAAATAAGAGTCTCTGAGTGTTCTTTGTGCGCGCGAGCAATTGCTGGTGATCTGGCAAATGGGGTTGGCATAAGGGGGTTTGGTTTCGAGTCGCGAAGGAGCGATGATTGACGGGAGGATTGCAGCCTCTCGAGAGCCTGCTCAGCCTGCTGAACCTGCTGAACCTGCTGAATCTGCTCAACCTGCTCAACCTGCTCAACCTGCTCAGCCTGCCCAGCCTGCCCAGCCCTCCCAGCCTTCCCAGCCCTCACGCATAACTCAACCTCAACGCCAATGCCAACCGCAACCGCACAACCCAACTGTAACCCCACCGCTCAACCCAACCCAACCGCAATGCTCAACCTGCCCAACCGCCAACCTGCCAACGCCAACCGCAATGTAACTCCAACCTGCCCCCAACCGCGCGCTCACCGCTCAGAATGCTAATCAACCTCCAGCCTGCTCAACCAGCAACCTCCCAGCCTGCTCAACCATATGCTTTTCCCGGTCGTTGGATCCACTGGAGTCATTCATTGAGTCTACCAGTCTACATTTCTCGAATTTAAGCGATTTAAATTTAGTCAAATGGAAGAAATAAGATAATTTTGTTGTTCTGTTCATCTTCTGTCCAATTTTGGAATCCTTATCCTCTAGAATCCCTATCCTCTGGAATCCTTATCCTCGTGGAATCCTTATTCTTAAGATGGGGACTTCTTCGTTCTTTCAACAAGATAACAATCCAAAGATACAATTGACGAAAAAGTTATTTCAAATGGTCGTTTTGTTCATCTGGTTTTGAATCAATGAGATTTTACAAATATCGCTGCTTTTACAAAAATCGCTCTCCCAATTGCAATTAAATTGAACATTTGAGGAAATGTAAAACGAGAATTGCCTGGCTATCAGTTTTCTTTAAAAGATTAGCTTTCCGATAAGACCCAATAAGATTTCCCAATTAAAAAAGTCAATTACAGTAAGACAAATCAAATAAAAGAGCTCATTTGATTCGAGATTCAGCTTAAGACATTTCTCTTCTCGATTTTCTCAGAATTCCTTAAACCAAAGCTCTATTTAGTATCATTTGAAAGCTAGAATTGTCCTCTTTAAAGCTAAAACATTACCAGCTTGCTGTTCACTATCCACCGATGATGTGCTTTCTCTTCCACTCGGCCTTGTCCCACCGATCATTCCCGGTAGCCCCAAACCGGCTAATCCCAAATTTTGCCTTGCCATCGCCTCAGCAGCTGCTCGGAACTCACTAAAATTTCGTCAGAGTTTTAAACTTTTCATTTCATTAGTTCATTTCATTTTCTCACTTCTGCAATTGCCTTTGCTGAGCCTCGATCATCATTTGCTCAGCTCTGTAAGCGGCCATGAACGGATTCTGAGGCGCTAAGCCAGAGTCATCGTCGAGGAAATCTTCAAAAATACAAAATAACTCTTACAGTCTTCAGTGAAATGATTTAGTTACAGTAAATTTAGCTACAGTATGATTTACTTACCCAATGGGTGTTTCCCAAGCAATCCGCCGGCTCCTGGCGGGCCAAGAGGGTAGAGAGGATGTCCGAATGAGGGACCACCAGTGTTTCGTCGACCTTCCCTGAATAAGAGATTCGATTTGAAAGTCATTGATTAAATAGATCAGGTACAAGGCAGTGGTTCTAGTAATGCTTTGATCGTTGTTCTTGTTTGATACTAGTCCTGGTACTGGTCTTGATCCTAGTAGTCTTGGGTCTGGCTCATGTCCAGTTCTGGGCATGGGCCAGACAGTACTATCCTTGGTACTAGTCTTACTAAGGCTAATCCTAGTCTAGTACTAGGTCTAAACCGGGCGATAGTATCAAAGTACTGGCTAATATCATTGGCTAGGATTACTGGCTAGTATTACTGGCTAGTATTACTGGCTAGGATTACTGGCTAGGATTACTGGCTAGGATTACTGGCTAGGATTACTGGCTAGGATTACTGGCTAGGATTACTGGCTAGGATTACTGGCTTCGAATTATGACTGTTCTAGGCCTGTGGTACTGGATTTACTGACATTTTGCCTTATGATCTTTGCTCTGTAAATAGTCATGTTATTAATCCTATTACTCTGACTTACAGTACCAAAGGAAGTACCAAAGGAAGCATATAAAACGACTCCTAGTACCAAAGGAAGCATATGAAATAGGATAAATGTCTGTAGCTCATTGGTAGAGCGTTAAGCAAAAAGTCAAGGGCTCTAATCCTTGACCCTTCAACTCTGTTATGAGCTCAAAACCAAATAAAACTATTTTAAACTATCTAATAGATACTATCTGATAGCTAAACAAGATATCAAATAACAATTTTTATTATAGATTCACTTTCCCGTACTTATCTAACCTCCGGTTCCCGTCGATGGCTGCTTGGAGATCGGCTGGATTTGATAAGCCTTCTTTCTCGCACTCGTAATCGTACAAGTATTTTTGATATCTAAAAATAATGAGAACTTTTTTAAAAAGATATCCAATTAGATGTATTATAGATATTTTACAGTATCCAACTCACTGTGTCCTCAGCGTGAAGGCGGCTGATGTGATGGATGAGGGTAAATTGAGTCCTTTCGTAATCTCACGCCACAATTTCTTGTTGATGATCTCGACAAGTCCACCATGTTGAACAACCAATCGATAAAGTTCATACAAATCAAGAACTTGCTTGGCCATGATTGGGATTCGAGTAACCGGCTTGCCTGGAATTTCACTGATCTTGCAAGGGATTCATAGAGCTTAAGCCTGAGCCTAAACCTGGGCCTGAACCCAAGCCTGAGACTAAACCTGAGCCTGAATCTGAGCCTGAACCTAAGCCTGAGCCTAAACCTGCGCCTGAACCCAAGCCTGAGACTAAACCTGAGCCTGAATCTGAGCCTGAGGCTGAGCCTGAACCTAAGCCTGAGCCTAAACCTGAGCCTGAGCCTAAACCTGAGCCTAAACCCAAGCCTGAGGCTGAGCCTAAGCCTGAGCCTGAACCTAAGCCTAAGCCTGAGCCTGAACCCAAGCCTGAGCCTGAACCTAAGCCTAAGCTACAGTAATACCATAGATCATCTGATCCTGAGCCATGGCTGTTCTAGCGTTTGGTTTTTGGGAACAGCTCTGACCCAGGGCTTGCCCAGATTCAGCCAAAGAACTTGCTAAAATTTGGATTTAAAATTTGATATTTTTCTTAGCCCCTAATTCTCTGATGTTGAGTGTCGAATCGACTCGATCCCAATGTGTACTCTCCCCTTTCTCCCGCAATGTCAGCACACCGAATTCTATTTGCTGATCACCGTGTTCGCACCCGTTTCCCTTTTTCTTTTTCAATTCATTCAGTAGAAAATAGCGAATAAACTTCAACAAGAGCTATGAAAGGTGAAAGCTTGAAGGTGAAAGGCGAAAGCTAAGCTTGAAATCTATGTATCTGAATTCTGAATGGCTTTGACTGTCACAAGTTTTGTTCTATCAAGAATCAGAAGAGTTTTAGGTCAATCTTTAATCGATCTTTCAAGCTTTATTGCAGAGATTAGCTCAAAAAGCTTTAGCTTTGGCTTTAGGCTTCTTCCTCTAGGTTTTACTCAAAGCTAGAGTCTATTCTGGTTCTGGTTCTGGTTCTGGCTCTGGTTCTGGCTCTGGCTCTGGTTCTGGCTCTGGTTCTGGCAATAACCACATCAAAACTACAGTACTTGCACAATACTATCAACTAAATCTAACACTTTGGTCCCCAACTCAATTCCCAATCACTTCACTCATCGGTCGTGTCCCCCTCTGGAATTCCGTGTATCTATGCGATCAGATTCTCTTGTACTCCCTTTCCTTGCTTACCCCCAATTCTTTCCCCATCACATCTATCTATCGTGTAGACAAACAAATGATTTCTCGAGCTTCTTTTGCTATTCCTTTTCCCCCCATTTCTCGATCAACTATTGACGCTTTTCGTACACTCGACCTCGCCGAGAAGTGGAGTGACTTGTGATTGCAGATCATTTTAGGGGAAAGAAGTGCAATTTTCGAGTGTTGATAGACATCTACTATTTCTTTACTACTAGATTTCTAGATGATTTAGTCAATTTTATGAAAACGAAACTCTTTACAAGTCTCTAAACTATTTCTAAATTTATTTAAACCGAATTATCCATAATAGATTCAATAAAATGAATGTCTAAAATCGATTTGCGACTAAGAAAACCCTACAAATTCAAAGCTGAAAGTAAAAGAGAAATGATTTTTGTTCTTTGTGCGCGCGAGTAATCGCTGGTGATCTGGCAAATCGGCTTGACATTAGGGGGTTTGATTTTCGAGTTGCTAAAGAGAAAGGAGCAATGAGCGAGTGACGAGAGGAGTTCCCCAGCCTTCCCAGCCTATGCGATTCACGATGTGGTCAATGGGAATGCTGCTACTCTGCGATGGGAATGATGGGAAAAATCGTTGGGAATGCTGCTACTCTACAACGAGCATAACCGCTTGGAAATGAAGTTTGATCTTGATTTTCTTTGATCCTATGCTCCAATCAAGTTCTTTTATATAGCTCAGTGGTAGAGATGGGTGTTTACCATTGAGCAGAGTCTCATTGAGTTTGAACAACAGGATTTATACAAAAAGTCAACCAAAGCAAGTGGTTCGACGTGCTGGATCTCCTAAATCCGTCCTGGAATCATTTCTTAAATGGGAAAGCTCAATCCTATCGATGTGGGGTCGGAAAATGTAGCTGACGATGAGATCTTGACGATGATTAGAGTGTTGAGCTTCTGGGAAAGCTTAGAAACTATAAAATGGGCATCAACTCGGCTGGGTGCACTAATATTAGAGAAAATACAGTTTATTTTGATATTTGAAAGCTTTAAGTGTTCTTTTGTGCAAAAATTTTCACCAAATCTCTCACCAATTCGATGCATAAATGAAAGCCAATCATCGAGCCACTCTTTTCGCTTTTGATCATTTGAAAGTTCGTATAACTGAAAGGATAATCATAGTTTTTTTTTTCATTTTATTATTTTATTTATATATTTACCCTCAATTTCCTTCCAAATCCTTTCAAAATAAGCAAAGGAAATTTCTATTTTTTTCAAACTATTAGGTGTGTGAAAAAGTAATCGACGTTTTTTATTTTTATTTTGTTTAAATAAATATATAATAATAATAATACTTTATTCAAACGATAAAGTGAAAGAAATCATAGAGAAATGCACAGTGATACTTAATCATACAATACATACTGAAATCAATAAGCCAATTACTTACGGCAAAGAGCCACTAGATCTAAAGCATCGATACGTTTCTTGAATATGAAAAGCGACTGAATTTCTCGTATGTCGTTTGGGAGCAAGTTCCATAATCTAGCGGCTCTAACGGGAAATGAATTTGATAAAGAGGCATTGGAAGCAAAGGGAATTTGCAAAAGGAATGAGCCACTTCTGGGCCCTGACCGCGGTTTAAATTTGAAAAAGTCTATAAACAAAGGGCTAATCTGTTTACGGGGCCCAGAAAGGGAAGGGTCTGTGGTCGACCCCGTCCGATCTGCCAAGTTGAGCAACGTCGGCGCGGGTTAGTCGTGGGTTCGACTCCCATGGGTTCCCCTCCGAGCGCCCCAGCCCGGCCATCGGAGTATCATCGGCTACGACAACTACACTTCTGCCTCAGTAAATGTGGAAGCGGGTTGTGATCTGCGCTAAGTGCGAAGACAGATCAAATCATTATTATAATCTGTTTACTACGGAGGATTTTGAAAGTTTCGACTAAATAAACCTTTAATGTATATCTAAACAATTTTTAATTTTTTTGTTAACGATATATATGTCGTAGCCGATTATGAATGAAATTTTTTTGGCAAATCTTTCTAGTAGAGCAACCCTTTAATGTATGAGGACAATATTATATCATCTTGTAGCGAATTCAATTCTGCGTCGATTGGTACCAAATTTGTGAGTTTAGGTTAAAAATTGCCGGCGCTACAACGTTTCATTCAAAATCGGCGGGACCCCCGTAGCCGATTATGAATGAGTGGGTCTAGGAGCGTCCAACCATCAACTATTTAGTATCATTCAACGCAGAATCATTCATAATTATGTTAAATTTTTTAAATTAGAAAGATTGAATAAAAAGAAAAAAAATTAGAGCAAAAAAACTGTTTGTTCAAGAGAAAACTTTGAAGCCCCATAATTTTTTTTCTTTTTATCCAATCTTTCAAACTTAAAAAATTTAACATAATTATTAATAATTTTGCGTTGAATGATACTAAATAGTTGATGGTTGGACGCTCCTAGACCCACTCATTCATAATCGGCTGAAATTCATAATCGGACGATAATCGGCTACGACATATATATCGTTTAAAAGCTTATTTTTCCTCTTTCGAATGATATATTTATTTTGTTAAAAGGACGACAATAAACTACTTTCATTTTAGTTTGAAAATGGTATACACAAGTATCGTTATTCGGTCAAATTTGCTTTATGAGTTCAAAAATGCGTTGAAAGCTGCGGAGGCTGCACGTCGAATTCGGAATGCGTTTGGCGAAGACGCCGTTATTGATGATACCGCTAGGTTTTGGTTCCGACGATTCAAAGGTGATAATGAAAGCCTAGAAGATGAACCACGTGGCGGTCGCCCTGAGACCCGTTCTGATGACCAAATAAGACGCTGTCTTCTCGAAAACCCTCGTTCAACCTCTTTAGAAATAGGTCTTACATTAAATTGTGATGGATCAACCGTAAGGAAACCCTTGAATGCCACGAATTTTATTTAACGAAACTTATGGTCTATTATATTTAAACGTTAAAAACGTGGATTACTTTTTCACACATACTAATACGTTTATCTTTTCCTTAACAATAAGACATGCTTACTTTATAAGCTCTAATTAGATTACTGTAGTCTCTAATTGGATTACTGTAACTAGAAGAGTAAATAGAAATGTTTCTTTAACGAAATACTTAAGAGAATTTTAAGAAAACAAATTTTTGAACCTGTTTAAATTGCTCTTCGTAGCTCCAATTTGGCTGTCCTGCACCAATCGGTGTCATCTCTCCATCATCTTTTTTATCCTTTTTAAATCTAAAATCTAGTTATCTTAATATTTTAAAGATTAGATTACGTTAGCTAAACAGCTTTTTCTAAATCTCACCCAATCGACAAGTCCTCCGGCTCGCCACCTCCCAAATTCTCCGACTCATCCTCGTCATCTGGATTCGCGCCGCTCACTGACGCCAAACTTAGCAGCTGAATAGATAGAGTTAGATTAGATTTAGATTGAGATTTAGATTTAGATTAGATTAGATTAGATTAGATTTAGATATTAAATAGATCTAATCACCTGTTGTTGTAGATGCAATGGATTCTGCTGCAACACCGAGAGAAATGGCGGTAAACCGCTGATCGCGAATGGGTTCCGGAGATTGCCTGCAATGAGATTTTTAATCTTGTATGTTTATTGCTCAATTTAGGCTCACTTTCTAAGCCTGGTCAAGCCTTGAACAGAATCAGAAATTGGACAAAGGCATGGAGTAATCTGGAGCTACAATAACCCTATCGGATAGTCTCTGACAGCTACAGTAATCAATAGGATGATCTGATCAATCAAAAGCAAGCCATAGTAAGTTTTTGCGACTATAATCTTAACAGCTACAGTTATCCTGACTGTGTAGGTCAGAACCTGTTCTTGATCTTGTTCTTGATCTTGTTCTTGATCTTGTTCTTGATCTTGTTCTTGATCCTGTTCTGGATCGTGTTCTGGATCTTGTTCTGGATCTTGTCCTTCATCTTGTTCTTGATCCTGTTCTTCATCCTGTTCTTCATCTTGTTCTCCATCTTGTTCTCCATCTTGTTCTCCATCTTGTCCTTCCTCTTGTCCTTCATCTTGTCCTTCATCCTGTTCTTCATCCTGTTCTCCATCTTGTCCTTCATCTTGTCCTTCATCTTGTCCTTCATCTTGTCCTTCATCTTGTCCTTCATCCTGTTCTTCATCCTGTTCTCCATCTTGTTCTCCATCTTGTTCTCCATCTTGTCCTTCCTCTTGTCCTTCATCTTGTCCTTCATCCTGTTCTTCATCCTGTTCTCCATCTTGTCCTTCATCTTGTCCTTCATCTTTACCTTCATTCTGTTCTTCATCCTGCTCTTCTTATTCTTCATCTTGGTGCCTCAGCCTTACTGATAAATTTCTATTTCTCCTAGCTTTTAACAACTCTCACAAGTACCCCAGTTTAGATAGATTTTACTTCTTTTTGAATTCGAAATCCCAATTCTTTCGTGATTCTTGGAATCTGGATGGGTTTGCATAATGGATGAGCTTCTCTAGCTTCACCTTTTCCCTCCTCTTTCCCCATCCACTCATTGTTTCTTTCTCAACTTCCCCACTTTTCTCAATTATTCATAAAGTTTTGCTTTCAACGAATTGAAAGAAGGAGATTATTCAATCGAATGGATGAAAATGGAGTACGGTAAAATGGAGAAATGGATAAGGAAAGATGGAGTACGGTAAACAGAATTTTGTGTACTCTCCCATTCTCCCATTCTTCTATTGATGACTTCCTTGCACCAGAAGCGATGGGTTTACAAAAAAACAGCCACAAAAGAACGATTTGAACTCACCAATCAAACGTTGCAAAGCTTTCTGTTGAGCTTCGATGTCAAAATTGTTGATGGATTGATCGGGTGATGGTGAGGCATCGGTGTGCTGAAATCTCTGCGATATTTAAAGCCAAATCGTCTAAAACTAGCTAAAACTAGTGCTAAACAAGTCTTAAACAAGTCTTAAACAATTCCTAACCAATTCCTTCAATTCCTAAACAATTCCTTCAATTCAAAAGCTACTGTAAAGTTTTAAAGCCGCCTAATAGCCGTCAAAAGCTTTAATAGACGGCGTACAGTCGTGTAGTCTTTAAACGTACAGTCGTGTAGTCTTATTCTCTGTCCAGTTACAGTTTGAGCTTTGGTAAAAGATAGCTCTTGAAATTTGATATCTTTTGATATCTAAAATAAGTAGCTAACTATATAAGTAGCTAAGAAAAGTGAAGAAATTAAGAAAAGAAATGATTTTCTCAAAAAGAAGTTAGATTACGTTGTACAAGGCTCTATTAAAGCCGCCTAATAGCCGTCAAATGCTCTAATAGACGGCGTACAGTCGTGTAGTCTTTAAATGTCTTAAAGTTTTCTTAAAGCTCTCTTAAAGCTGTCTTAAAGCTCTCTTAAAGCTTTCTTAAAGTTCTCTAAAGCTATCTAAAGCTATCTAAAGCTCTCCAAAGCTTTCTTAAAGCTCTCTAAAGCTCTCAAAAGCTATCTGAAGCTCTCCAAAGCTATCTGAAGCTCTCCAAAGCTCTCTAAAGCTTTCTTAAAGCTCTCTAAAGCTCTCAAAAGCTATCTAAAGCTCTCAAAAGCTATCTAAAGCTCTCAAAAGCTATCTGAAGCTCTCCAAAGCTCTCTAAAGCTATCTAAAGCTCTCTAAAGCTATCTAAAGCTCTCAAAAGCTCTCTAAAGCTCTCAAAAGCTATCTAAAGCTATCTAAAGCTCTCCAAAGCTCTCTAAAGCTCTCAAAAGCTATCTAAAGCCCTCTTAAACCTCTCTTAAACCTCTATCAAACCTCTCTTAAACCCCTCTTAAACCTCCTTACTCTCCATTTAATCTACCTCATTATTATTTGATCCAGGCTGAGCTTCGGTTTGTCCTTCCGTAATCTCTCCATGATTTTCCAATGATTCAGCAGCTCGTTGACTGATTTGAGCCAATAATTCGTGCGATGATTCGATCGTCAGTGACGACATCACCTAAAAAAAAATAAATAAATAGAATAATAATAGAAATCGAATAAACTGTAATGATAATAAAGAATAAATGATAATAGGTAGAGTTAAAAGCACTAGACTAAAGCAAAAAAAGACTATAAAATGCGTTTAACGGAGCACAAAATGCACAAAATGCACAAAACACTTAAATAAATCCTTTCTACTACATTAAACACTTCAATTCTCTTATTTAACAGCTTTTTTATAAGAAAACAGTGCACTAGAAAAGATTCGTTTAGGAAAAAATTAAAAACTGTGTTAAAAAACTGATGAAAAGCTAGAAAATGTGAAAAAATGATGATTAAACATGAAAAATCGATGATTAAAAAAGAATTCTCTAAAGAAATCTGATAAAAGAGTTGATCTAAATGCTTCCGAAATACTAATTGGCTCGCATATGCACTCAATTACTCAAAAAAAACGAAAGAAACGCTCACGATTTTTATGGATCTCTTTTGATTCCTCAGCGAAAAGATTCCCCTGTTTTATGTTGATTGATGGGATTTGCTTTTCCCTTTGCTTTGATTCTTTTGAATAGCTCAATAGCTTTACTTATAGTAGCTTTACTATAAGCTTTACTTATAGTAGCTTACTTATAGTAGCTTTACTCTTAAGCTTTACTATAAGCTTTACTATAAGATTTACTATAAGCTTTACTTATAGTAAAGCTTATAGTAAGTAAAATTAAGTACTGTACAAGTAGAATGTTTTCGAATAACACAAAGAAACACAGGAATGATCAGGAATGGTAGATCTTGGGCAAGCTTGGTTTAAAGTAAAGCTAGGCTAGGGTTGGCTGATTTTTTCTAATGTAAGACTGAAGCTGAAGCTTTCAACTGGTTGAATTGGAGGTCAGGAATGGAGATCAGGAATGGAGATCAGGATTGGAGATCAGAATTGGAGATCAGGACTGGAGAGGCTTAACCGATAGATTTATAGTGCTATTATACGAAGTCTCAGCAAGAATTTAAAGTAATCTTATTGTTGTTTTTTTTATTGTAATCTTATTGTTAGCATTTAAAAAATAAAGAATAAGTTGAGCTTTTCTGCCTTTTAAAATCTCACTTTCTAATCATCACTTTAGGACAAAGAAGCTAAAGGTCCAGCGGCATCAGAATGGAGATCAGGAATGGAGATCAGGATTGAGATCAGGATTGAGATCATGATTGGAGATCAGAATTGGAGGCCGGTTAGGACTCGAGCTTAAAACAGGACAGTAACTAAGGCCAGGTCAGAATCAGGCCTATGTCAGGGTCAAGCCCCTGTACTTATCCGGTTTAGGATCAGCAAGGGAAAGGACTAGGATTTGGTTTAGAACTAGGGTTTGAACGATTGTTTTGAACAATTTGAACAAGTTGAACAATTTAAACCATTTGGACAAGTTGAACAAGTTAAACAAGTTGAACCATTTGAACAAGTTAAGCAAGTTAAGCAAGTTGAACAAGTTGAACAAGTTGAACAAGTTGAACAAGTTGAACCATTTGAACAATTTGGACAAGAGGATTGACGATCAAAGTGAATTAAAACTAAGCTTGAGTCAAGATAGATAAATGAAAAGAAAAGAAATCAATCAAGAAATCAAAAGCTCTCTCGATCACATCAATTTCAATCAACACTTTTTTCTGAGTTTTCATTTGATTTATTGGTATCAAGTGAGGGAAATTGAAGAGATTTATATGAAAGTTTTGTTTTTTCTTTGCTTTAGAAAGTATTTCTGAAGAAAAAGCTGTAAAAAATGAAAGATTTCATTTTTTACAGCTTTTTCTTCAGATAATAAGCTAGAAAAGATTCAAAAGTGAAAGAGTTTTGCTAAATTGAGCAATAGATTCAATTTCGTTTGCCATTTCAATCTCATTGTCTTGAGGTGTAAAGCAAAATAGACTAGGTTAGGTTTGGGCAAAATCAATTCTGATTTAATTATCGACAAGACTAGTTATTGCTCTAACATAGTTTGACTTCAGCTAGGTTAGAGCTAGAGCTAGCTAGCTTAGAGCTAGAGCTAGAGCTAGCTAGCTTAGAGCTAGAGCTAGAGCTAGCTAGCTTAGAGCTAGAGCTAGAGCTAGCTAGCTTAGAGCTAGAGCTAGAGCTAGCTAGCTTACTGTTCCAACAGTTTAAAGACAAGCTTGTCGACGAGAAAGTCAAACTCGTTCGTCGTCGTTCGTCGAAAGTTGAAAGAGACTTTATAAACAAGATACCTTTCGGCCATAGGCACATGTCTTCAAGACAAAAAAATTACAAATGTATAGCTAAAACTTTAAAGTCAAATACCTAGCTTTTTCATTTAGGAAAAAGTAAAAAAGCGGATTTGGAAAGCCTGTAAAAATTTGAACAAGATAAGATAGGTATCGTTTTGAAATTTTACCAAGATCACCAAGATCACCAGACCAAGATCTTTATGATTAGCTAGAAGAAGATATTAGAAGCAAAGTCAAAAGCAAAGCAAAGCAAAACAAAGCAGAGCAAGTCCAGATTAAAGTCTGTTCCTGATTACCGTCTTCTTTCTAATAGTAGTGCACCTAGTTGCCTAAATTCTTCGAAATCTCGAGAACCGCTTATCAGAACCTATCGATGTGGGGTCGGAAAATGTAGCTGATGATGAGATCTTGACGATGATTTGAGTGTTGAGCTTCTGGGAAAGCTTAGAAACTGTAAAATGGGCATCAACTCGGCTGGGTGCAGTATTAGAGAGAATGCGGTAACTCAAAATTCAAAATTCAAATTTACATAAAAATTCTAGAAAACAATAACTAAATCTGTGATTTTAAAGAATTTTAAAAGAATTTAGGAAGAGCTAGAAAGCTAAAAAGGTAGAAAATCAGCTAGAAAGCTAGACAATCAGCTAGACAATCAGCTAGAAAATCAGCTAGACAATCAGCTAGACAATCAGCTAGACAATCAGCTAGACAATCAGCTAGAAAAGCAACTAGACAATCAGCTAGACAATCAGCTAGACAATCAGCTAGACAATCAGCTACACAATAAGGAAAATCTCTAGATCACAAGCCAACCTAATCATCATCAAAAAAACCTAAAACCAAATGGATCCAGTGTAAGTCAAAGAGAAAAAGCAAAAATTGCCTCAAAAAGCTTTAGGATGATGATCATTTTGATGAGAAATGAGAGATATGAAGAGCATTTTTGATTGGACACAAAAATCAGAGACAGTTGGCATTTGAGGTTGAGGGGGGAAAACTCAAAAAAAAAAACTAAAAAATGAGTAGTGAAAGCAATGAAACCGCATTGTTTTCAAAAATCGATTAAAACTCGAAAAAATTCTTATTTAATTTCAAGTTTAAATAGAATCAAAGAATACGAGAGTGTTTGTGTGCCAGGAGGCTAGCGTTTACCCGAAATGTATTGTGCTTTGTTCTGTAAATTACTGGCTTACTGAAGAGATTGTGCCAGAGAGGGTGCGTTTAAACAAAAAGAGGCAGAGCTTGTTCTTTGTGCTTTTTGTGAGTACTTTGTGTTGGTAAACGCAGAGCTTCTATTGCATTGACTCTTGGAAGTCAACCTTGGCAAGAAAGGATGCTTTTGAGTACAAAGTGGTGGTCCGGTTGAAAGCTTAAAAATCCGGTTGGTTAAAATGCTTTAAAAGGCTTTCCATCAAGGGAGGGCGAGGGACGTCGGTGGCCAAGTGGATTAGACATTAGGCTACCACTCACAGGATCATGGTTCGATCCCGGAAGCGGCTTCTTAAATATATTTTTATGATCAAATTCTAGAATTTTGTAACTAATTATGATTATGATTTTTCTTTTCATTTCTTCAATATTCTTCTATTGTTATTGTCAATTATTTACATTATTTACATGACCTTTCTGTGGTTTGATTTGATTCATTTTTAAGTCAAAAAAACGCGACACCTGCTCAATTGGTTTGATTTAGAGAAAGAAAAGTGAGGCTTTGATCGATGTGGGTGACACGTAAATGAAATGGGAAAGAAATGGGAATGAAATGGGAATGAAATTGGAAAGAAATCGAAGGAAAAGGCCGCATTTATTCCCCTGGATCTGAGAGATTTCAGTTGATCATTGGTGTACTTTGTGTTCAATCAAATACTCTATTTGATTGCCTAGAAATAATTGCGTAATTGCGTAAACTTCTCAGTGTGCCAGAGCTGATGCGTTTACAAGAGAGACGTGAGTTTTCAATGTGCTAGACTCGATTTGTACTTTGTGCTGAAAACGCGTACCTTTTGGCACACTTAACAGCCATGTAAACGCACTGTATCTAGCACACAGAAACGCACTCTATCTAGCACACTTCTAGCAGAGTTCTAGCACACTTAACTCGCATAAACGCATCGTTTCTGGCACCCAAAAATGCACCCTTTCTAGCAAAGTTCTAGCACACTTCTAGCACACTTAACCCGCATAAACGCATCGTTTCTGGCACACTCAGTCTTTCCAATTGTTCCCCAAATCGCAATAGACTCCTCTAGAAGTAACTGAATCAACTCCTCGAAATATTACAGCCACGATGATTCTCCTTTTCTCTCATTTCATGGTGTCCGATTACTTTCATCCCTTTAGCCTCAATCTCTATCTTTTTAAATCTTTATCCTTTATTGAATCCTTTCCAATCCGTCAAATCTCAACCGCAACACTGTTCCCTTTTTTCCCTTTTCCCCTCAAGCAATATGATCGCATTTTTTTTCGACAACTTTACAGCTAAGATCGACTCTTTTTTTGTTGAGGAAAATGATGAGATTTGAAATGATTCATTTGAAATTCTTTCATGAAATCTTTCATTTAAAAAGCTCTGTACGATAGAAAAGAGGCGTTTACAAGGCACAAAGTACAAAGGATTTCAAAGAAAATTACTCAAAGTCTGTCCCTCCGCAAAATCAAAATCGGTCAAAGAAAAGCCAAAGATTTCAGTGAAAGTGTCAAAGGCTCGATATGCCAAACAGGATTCGTTTTCAAGATTTCAGCACAAAGTACATGTAATACTTATCGCAATTTGTAAACGCATCC